GTAATTGCCTGCYTTTTTATAGTCTATGTTCCCCCTCCTCAGTGAGGTCAGGGCGATTCCACGTTTACGCAACGACGCAGGAAGGTGGCATTACTTGGACATGAKGTCACAGTGTGTGCGGATTCACAAGTTCTCACACCCTGGAAAAGGAGAGGGCATCCTGAAAATAACGAAGTAAAAACTGAAAAACAAAACAACTGTTGTAGCTGAAGACTTTTCGCTTCTCGGTTCAAAGATTTCCAAGTTTTCATCTGCGAGAGATGCTCCATTTATGCAGCTAAAATCACACGCAGATCAATCTCACTCCCCTTTCAATGCGGAGTCGTTAGGGTCTTTGTTTGTCCGCCTCACAGAAGAAATCCTTTGGTCGCATTTACTTGAAAGTGTGAATTAAAGGGAAAGGCTCAGTACTCCATTTAAAGTTTAGGCAATGTCATTTCATAAAATGTTTTCGTTGCATTTTGGCTGTTTGTGTACTGTATTTTTTGAATCAAGGTCTCAGTGTGAAAGTTTGATGAAAAAAAATCCCGCATCYGTGTGAAATCCCACATCCACACTTTGGAGGCTGCAGTCAAGAGTTTTTCTGCACTTGTGCACGTAGTTCAACAATAGTAACAATTGTAAACATCAACCTGCTGTTTGCTTTTTTCAGTTAATCAAAGCTTGTGATATAAAACAGAGTATGTAGGTTACACTTGTCTTGTCAGCTCACTCGTTTCTCTCATTCTACGAAYATTGAACGGGCCTGTAGTTGTTTTAATACTCAAGACGGAAGTGTTTGTTTACATGTGTGCATCACTGAAACATAAAAATCACAGCACCAGCGATCACCCTGGCATGAAGACTACAGCGGGTCTCATCTAAAGAACGATTACAATCACAGCTTTGCTCAGCATTGAAAAACATATAACGTTTCCAGGAGATTGTTCACGTAAATGTGGTTTAAGTTTAGAAAGGTGAAATCAGACGTTCTCTGTTTAAAGTTGTTTTTTTCTCATCTGATGTAAATGACTTCCTTCACCCTCCTCTTAAACCRTCTGTCTTCTCTGTCCAAAATATGAACGGTTCAGGAGTTTTCCTACAGCTGAGTTGAGCCATTCATCTGTGGAGTTTAGTTTCTATGAAGAGGTCTGAATGTCTCTTGCTGCACTAAACTGCATRCAGTTTGTGTTTGGGTGTTTTTTTTCTTTAGGATGACCAGCCTCTCTGTGAGAATTTTTAGAAAATTTTAYTAAGTTTCCCAKAAACTGCAAGACAATAGTTTTGCTTTCGTTTTTCTTTTCCTCCCCGTTCTGTACAATGGTGTGTTTTTAGATTTCCTCCCCGACTCGATAAAAGCCTAAGTTAGAACATGTTTGGAGAGTTCCTTTGGTATGTTTCTGTTCCTTATGGTTTCCTTCTGTCCTCATGGAGACGTGTTCTGATGGTGAAGAGATTCAATGACCAACAGCCTCTACACAGACGAATGCTCGACACAGAAGAGCCAGTTCTTCAGGACGAGACTCGGGCATGTATACACCGTAAGGATAAGGGACACCACAATTTTTACTGGTGGTTTGAGAGTTTGGACAAGGAAGCCATTAATGCCAAATAAGAAAAAAAAAAGCTTCAAACAGAGAAGGAAGTTTAAGATTTCAGTTTTAAAACTGATAATRGAGCATTAAGCCTGCTGACACCCATCAGTTTTGCTCTAACTCATGTCAACATGCATGTGTCCAAAGTGCACAGGCAAACAGAGACCCTAACGCCTCTCCGGTRGGAGGGGAATGAGATTAATCTGCATGACTGAGAATCTGCATCAGCCAGAGCACAAAYCCAGACGGTGCGACCCAGGTAACACATATCACTGCGACACCTGAGACGGGCCTGTTTCTGATCCACCTCAGGGTCACATTTAAGCCTGAGTCATCGTCACTTGGCTCAGCCAGGGCCACCTCCCCTCCCCTCGTTTTGTTTCTCAGCTGCTGTGTTTGGGTTCCCAGTTCGATTCATTTCAGCTCTGTTTGGCTCATTCACATTGTAATGGACTCCATTCAGGCCGGTCTATGTCCAGTTTGTTCTGCTGTCAGCCCTTCAGATGGATGGATGTGGGGGGGCTGCAGGTTCATCTGGAGGTGAGGCTAAGGGACTGCCTCCTGGATCTTGCAAGACCCCCATTCGCGTGCTGCGATTTAGCATTTAAAGACAGCGAATGTGCTCTAAATAGGAAGTAGGTACATATCTGTGTTTGAGTGGAGGGGGGAATAGGTAAAAGAGAGAAGCAGCTGTGTGGAACAGCATGGATCGTTACACGGCGACTCACATGAAAGCTTTAAGTATATTCAGGAACATTTGTTGAATATACATGGAGCTGTGTGCAGCTCTGTGTGTGTGTGTGTGTGTGTGTGTGTGTGTGTGTGTGTGTGTGTGTGTGTGTGTGNCTCAGAATATTAATCTTAAATAAAATGTCCCATCAGTGCATTTAAAATAGTATTCTCAAATATCAGACTGTAGTCTCAGTGTGTGTGTGTGTGTGTGTAAGCGTGTGTGTGTCACGTTTTGTTTTGATCTCCTTTCAAAGCGATACCTGCGTTTCTTAAACCTTATTTTTCTTCATATTGAGCCTGGTCGCGTGTGAACAGCTCGGCTTTAAATTGTAGTTTATGGTTTTGGTAGTTTCCTGTTGTGAGTGTGTGTGAATGTGTGTTGGTGTGTGTGTGTGAGAGAGGAACTGCGGAGCTGCTCCTCGGTATGAAAGGCTGCAGACGCCGTGCTGTCTTCAGCCTCAGTCGGGTTGTTCCCTGCTGTTCATCCCGGCCTCTGATCTTCGGATTATTTATTAATTAATTAATTTATTTAGTGGCGCTCATGTGCGGAAATTATTGCAAATTTTCGCAATGAGTTTTATCTAAAGTAAAAAGCTTTTTTTTAAATCCCGTTTTCATTTTTTATTAAATGTCAACACGTTCCTGATTAAGTCTCTCCAAAAAGAACAAAAGCTTTTTTTAAATCCTAGCTTATATATTTGTTGCATGACGCGTAAAACTCATTTCTTCGTAGATTATTATGGAGTTCGTGTACTGAGGATAGTTTGACCCTTCAGACTGTGGAGGTGTGTGTGAGTGTGTGTGTGTGGGTGCGTGGAAGGAAGCCCAAACACCTTCAACGTTGCATGGCACAGACTTTATTTATTTACTAATTTATGTATTTATTTATTTGGAAGCGCAGTTTTTACGCGCTGTTGTGTTTGCGTGGCGCAACGCGATAACGCAAGAATTTTAAACCCATGTTGGTCAAAATGCATCCTGATTTCCTCTCTTTCTGTTTGACGAGGAATGTAAACACAAGACGCGTGTTCGTGGCCTGAAATGTACGAAAAAAGCAGGAGAAGGAGGGAAAAAAAGCGTCATGAGGAGAGTGGTGTGTGTGATTGATGCCCCCGTGGAGAGGGGCCATTGTTTCTCTCAGCCTTGGGGACAAGGAGAGTGCCTCATTTCGCGTTCCTCTCTCCTTTTATTTCTCCTCAGATACGCGCCGAACAGATAACACTTGGCTGCACAACAGAAAAATATAGATTTGATGATTTAAATATAGAAAAGAAACATAGGAAGTGGTGCTTTTGACGCACGAACAAGCTGCAGAACTTTGGAGCATATTTTCCCCCTCACCTTCAAATAATTATATAAATATAACAAAAGAAGAAAKAAAGAAAAGTTGGGAGAAGAAGCAGCATGTGTGTGTGTGTGTGTGTGGAGAAGTGTGTGTGTGTGGGAGCCTCCTGATCCACCGGAGCATTTGATATTTTTCTTTGTTCCTTTATCGTTGGTTCCTGGGAGGTGCTATCTACAAAGATGGACGTGCCATGCATTGGAAAGCCTAAATAGATGGACTGCTGAGGTGGGCTCAGAGGAACGCGTGCAGCATACCCACCATCCTCATCCCACTCCTACTTTCTCCCAATATGAACATCTCAGGGAGCCCGATTTGAGTAAATGACCAATGTGAGGGAGAGAGAAAATATAAATATAAAAAAGGTCATTTCTGTTCACTGCGCTGGAGCAAAAAATGTGTTTGGTTTGTGGTTACTATATATATATA